ACTCCTCCCTGGCTGCCTCCTGCTTGGTGCACTGCTACATCCCCCAAAAGATCCTGGATTGCGAGAGGGCCCAGGCCAGGCTGAGGAAATCCACCCCTCCCCCACCCTCTCTGTGCGTGAATCTGTGCACTGGGCCTCTAGTCTATAATAATAAGAGCGTAATATGCTAATTAGACCGGACAGCCGAATGACCTTCCGGACATCATTCCAGATGTCCTTCCAGATGAAGCTGCCGCAGTGGGGGCTTAGATGGAGATTGTTAGTGGTGATCAGGAAGGCAGGCAGAGGTGGTTAGGGGTGATCAGGAAGGCAGGCAGGTGAGCAGTTAGGAGTTTGCAGTTTCGGATTGCAAGAGGGTGCAGGCCAGGCTGAGGGACCCCTCTGCCCCTGTGCACGATTTTTGTGCACTGGGCCTCTAGTTTGTATATAAATCTAACAAAACATGTCTAAGATCTGCATGTTGAAACTTACAAAATGCTGATGAAAGAAATCGAAGAATGTATGTCAACTATAGCTAAAAAAAAATCAAAGAAAACTAAATCATTGGAAAGACATGCTGTGTCAAAATAGTAAGGATGCCAATTCTCTCCAAATTATTCTACAGATTTAAAGCAATTTCAATTAAAATTGCAGAATTTTTTGTATAGTCAAGCTGATTCTAAAATTTATATGGAATGCTAAAAGAACTAAAATATCTAAAACATTTTTAAAAAAGAACAAATAAGCCTTAACCGGTTTGGCTCAGTGGATAGAGCACTGGCTTGCGGACTGAAGGATCTCAGGTTTGATTCCGGCATATATATTTTTAAAAATAAATAAATAAATTTTAAGGCTAATGTATAGTGACATAGATCAGATCAGTGATTTCTTTGGGATGGGAGCAGGCATACAGAGGAACCAAAGGAAAGGATTACAAAGGGATACAGGGAAAGTCTTGGGGGTAGTGCATAGATTCATTATCTTGCTTGTGGGAACAAACTTATCAAATTGTGTACTTTAAGTATGTATAGGTCAATTATAACTCAATAAAGCTATTTTAAAATATTCTTTCCAAAGTAACATATTACTTTTATATCTACGAGGTGGCAGTTGGAACCATGGATGTTGCCAAAGTGTTTAATTCACATCCTCTAGCATTATTTAATTTTAAAAATAATATATAGGAAGAGTAAGATGAAGGTAGGTTACCATTGCAGCACATTTTATAAGATTATGATGAAAATAAAAAGGAACATAATTGTAGTAGATCTTTAGCAGATTGCTATTTATTCGTTTGAAGCTTTAGGAATAGTAAGTATGAACTGCAGAATAAAGAGCAGGTATAGTCTCTTTCCTCTGCCCCTGTCCACCAGCAATTTGTAAAGAATCAAGAGGCTGGTTGACAGTTGAACAATTCTTGACATTTTTGTAGTACCTTTGCAGAAGGCCTTATAGTATGTTATCAAACCCACCTGCCACTCCTTGTTAAAAATCTCTACACTTAAAAAATAGTAAATAAAAATGTAATTCTGTTATAACGTCATTGCTTTAGTTTTTAGTAACTAGATTGAAATTTCAGCTCCAGAATTTTCTAGCTGTCTGCAAAGTTTCCTCCAGTAGGAAAGAAGGTCTGTCACTTAGCCTACAAAAGGATAGGGAGGAATTCCTTTGACCCCCAGGCCAGTTATCTGTTAAAAAAAGAAAAGAGAGAAACTGTGATAAAAAGTAATCCACAGGCATTTTTCAAAAGCACTTTTATGATTCACATTATATATTTAACCACCTATTATTCTTATTTTATTCCCTATCATAAAAAGGAATTACTTGATTAGGTATTTATGATCTAACCCAATTTTTCACACAGATAATAATCTAAACAGCAATCATTTACAACTAACTGGGATTTAAAGCTGAATTTATTTCTATAATTTCACAACTATTAAGAAAGGGATTTGAACCAAATGATTTCTAAATTTCTTTTCAGCTTAAAAAGTCTGTACTTTTTATCAGTATTTGTTTTGTTGTAAAAAATTAAAAACCTGAAAATATTCTTGTGACATCAAAACAATCAACTAATCTTATTTATTTATTCATTATATATTTTTATTGATTTCAGAGAGGAAGGGAGAGGGAGAGACAGAAACATCAATGATGCGAGAGAATCATTGATTGGTTGCCTCCTGCACACCCCACCCCCACCAGGGTTTGAGCCCATGAGCTGGGTTTGTGCCCTGAGGGCATGTGCCCTGACTGGGAATCAAACCCTGAATCAAACTGCGAATCCAATGGTGACCTCCTGGTTCATAGGTTGACGCTCAACCACTGAGTCACGCTGGCCGGGCCAATCAACTGATCTTATAAACATGTTTCAAATACTGGTTTTCCAAGCCCATTCTACTGATTTATAGAATTTCAGCAAACACTACTGAAGTAAAAATTATTTTTAAGAACTGTAAAAGGCGTCTAAAAATGTTGTCCTGGATTTCAGATAACTTTCAGTCTAGAAAATCTAAGTAAAACGTTTTTAAGTGTAGCATGATGAGCTTAAAATGCTAACTGGAATTATGTCTTGGAAGTATGAAAAAGCACCGATCACTTGATTATACTTAACTGAGGATCTCCCACCTCATCCTCAATGAAAAGAAATAGCCAGATCACCTTGAAAATTCCACCAGCTTTAGGTTGTCGCAAAAGATCCTCAGGGCCTATTCCATCCCGGGCACAGGTCACGTACATTTCAGAGTAATCCTTCCCTCCAAAGCAACAGGAGGTGGTTTTATCCACAGGCAACTTCACAGTTTGGAGTCTTTTCCCTAGAACAGTGATCAGCAAACTCATTAGTCAACAGAGCCAAATCTCAACAGTACAACGATTGAAATTTCTTTTGAGAGCCACATTTTCTAAACTTAAACTATATAGGTAGGTACATTGTTATTAACTTCATTAGGGTCCTCCTAAGCTGGCCTTTGCTAAAAATGTCCTCAATTTGATTCTGAGGTTGACCCCTTCCACCTCTCCCATCCTCAACTCCTGCGCATGAATCCCACGCTGCGAATCCAGCCCGAATGTGCTGCGTCTCCTGTCGCCAGACCGATCGACACCCCCCACTTCTTCTAACGCCACTTCTTCAAAATAGACTTGCCCAGGCCGAAAACTGACTTCTGCGCATGGGCCATGCAGTTTCAATCGCACTGTACGTGCGCGCCTGCACGTGGTATTTTGTGGAAGAGCCACACTCAAGGGGCCAAAGAGCCGCATGTGGCTGGCGAGCCGCGGTTTGCCGACCACTGCCCTAGAGCACCAAATATTTTGTTTAAAGTCTATTTCTAGCAAATTTCCAACCTGCAAAAGCTTTCAGGACCCTTCCCAGAGTAATAGAAGAGTTTAAAGAAGTTGGTGGAGGTCACATTTCAACCATGTATTGCACCTACCTTCCCTGACAATTTGTTTTGAGCAAAAAGACTTATCTGCATAGGAAAAGAAGTTCTGACTATAAATTGGGGGCTATCTATTTGGCCTTGATTTCTAAAATCATCCAGTTGATGCCTTTGAATATAAGGTGTCCCCCAAAAATGTATACACACACTTTGAATAATTATAAAGGCAGTGTTTATTAAAATATATTTTATTTTCAAAATTGAGCTATCAGGCCCTAGCTGGTTTTGCTCAGTGGATAGAGTGTGGGCCTGCGGACTGAAGGGTCCCAGGTTCAATTCCGGTCAAGGGCACATGCCGGGGTTGCAAGCTCCATCCCCAGCAGGGGGCATGCAGGAGGCAGCCCATCAATGATTCTCTCTCATCATTGATGTTTCTATTTCTCTCTCCCTCCCTTTCTGAAATTAATAAAAAATATATTTTAAAAAACTGAGCTATCAGCTGTTATAGTGTGTATTCATTTGGAGGGATACCCTGAATATTCCTGTCTAACTTTATTAATAATGAATTTTCTCCAGTCCCTAGTGTCTGGTGTTTCTAGACATGACAGGGATTTTCCATTGTGTTGTGAGCCTACCTGTCTCAGGATCTAAACGAATCACTCTTCCTCCATTGTAACAGGCCACCCAGAGCTTCCCCTCGGCATCGATACACATTCCATCTGGGATTTGTTCGTCTTTCTCCAGCTTGTAAACACTTCTGCGGTTGGCTACGGTTTGAAAAAAAGCAACCCCCCGCCAACAACAAGCTATTCAATACTAAGCACCAAACAATGAGGAATCAAGTGATTATAAATACTGACCACTTCTGCTTATCTGGGTTCTGGTGTATGGGAACCACAGGCGGGATGGTTCAAAAGGATTCCTAACTCTAAACAATGACCACAAATCTGATGGGTACCCCTCAACAAAGGATTTTCACCACATGATTTGGGGTGGATTCATCCTTTAGGTTGGGTACAGACATGTCTATCAAAGTTTTCAGAGAGAAAAAAGAAAGCAGAATGGGGGCTTCCCCCTGCTCCCTTTTATCTCCTATCAAACTTTAATCTTAGCCCTAGCTAGTATTGCTCAGGGGATAGAGCCTCAGCCTGCAGAATGAAGGGTCCCTGTTTCTAGTCTGGTCAAAGGCACATGCCCGGGTTGCATGCTCAATCCCCAATAGGGGCTTGCAGGAGGCAGCCAATCAATGATTCTCATCATTGATGTTTCTATCTCTCTCTCCCTCTCCCTTCCTCTCTGAAATCAATAAAAAAATATGAAATAAAATAAAATACCAATATATCTTTTTGAGGCTGAACTGAATCCCCGCATGACCACCTCAGATATATAGGGTGTCCCAAAAAATGTATACATGCACTCTGAATAATTATAAAGGCAGTGTTTATTAAAATACAATTCATTTACAAAATTGAGCTATCAGCTGTTAAAGTGTGTATACATATTTTTGGGACACCCTGTACTTCAGCCTGTGGTTAGACCTTTGCAATTTTACTTACAAAAATGCCTACTTTGATTAACCTCAAGATCTAGAAGGCAACTCAATGGTGCCATGTGACCAATTCATTCACAAAAACTAGTACAATGTATGAGTTCTGTTTCTGCCTGACTAATGCTTCATAATCACCTTATCAAAACGAAATATTAGAAGTTTCTTGAGAGCTTGTTTGGAGGTTCTAGCAGGGGAGCGCAGCTACTCGTATACCCTTGACCGAAGACCAGTCCTCTCCTTGTGGGGAAGGTCGTCCTCTTCAACCCGAGCGCCAGCTTCGGGAGGGACACACATGGATCAGTGAGGGAGGAGGGGGACACCCGCCTAGCCAGCCAGATCAGCCGAATCAACCCTGGCGATCAATGGGGTGACAGATGTCGCAGCCAGATCGCCCTCACATCCTAGAAGAGTTTCTTTTGCCCTAACTGGTTTGGCTCAGTGGAGAGAGCATCGGCCTGTGGACTGAAAGGTCCCAGGTTTGATTCCGGGATGTACCTTGGTTGTGGGCACATCCCTAGTGGGAGGTGAGCAGGAGGCAGCTGATCGATGTTTCTCTCTCATCGATGTTTCTAACTCTCTATCTCTCTCCCTTCCTCTCTGTAAAAAATCAATAAATATATTTTTTTTAAAAAGAAGAGTTTCTTTCTGAAAGGAGGGGTGTTCTGAAATCAACTAGCTGGCCTTAAACAGGGAATTAGAGTATCAAAAAACATCAAAATCCAGAGGAACTTTACACTCCAAAATGCAGGACATTGCAGTGTTAAAAGTGAGGTATAATAGGAAAAATAGTAAAACCATGCATAAGTAAGATGAGAAAAACAGTTATAAAAAGAGCACTAAATATTTGAAGACAACACATTTGTACTGGAATGCTTCAGCTCTGATTAAATCTACACAAGAATCTTGTGATATTTTTCAAGTAATTTTAATTACTGGTTTTGCTCTTGTGGTTTGGCACCTTTCATGAAACAGTTTCAAGTAATCCCTTCTAAATTCTTCTCAATAATTCCTTCCTCCCAGTTTCCGACTATGGCTCATTTAGAGCCCATTGATGGACTTGAACAATCTGTAACTACTTAAAAAAAAACTTTTCCATTTTTTAAAAATCCTCACCTGAGGATATATATGTATTGAAAGTAGAGACAGAGACAGAGATAGAGATAGAGATAGAAACATTGAAGTGAGAGAGAAATATTGATCAGTTGCTCCCATATGCTCCTACTCAGGGATTGAACCCACAAACTAGGTATGTGCCCTGACTGGGAATTAAACCTGAAACCTTTTGGGTCAGTGGATAGAGCGTCGGCCTGCGGACTGAAGGGTCCCAGGTTCGATTCCGGTCAAGGGCATGTACCTTGGTTGCAGGCACATCCCCTGTAGGAGGTGTGCAGGAGGCAGCTGATCGATGTTTCTCTCTCATCGATGTTTCTAACTCTTTCTCTCCCTTCCTCTTTGTGAAAAATCAATAAAATATATTTTTTTTAAAAAGAAAGAAGATTAAAGATCTATCCATATTATGCTACCTGTGGCCACATTTAGTTGTGTTAAGAGCCATGCTTGACTGCATTATAGTCAAGTCTGTGTCATCATTACCATACTAGGATAATATCATTGGACAGCTCTCTATTTGACGAAGTAAGGATCTTTACACATGGGTGAAGGGACAGGCAGCTTACTAATGATATACATAAGAAAAAATATGAGCAGTATTAAGAAAAATAATGAAAAAGTACGTACAGATCTTTCCTGTGTGCAAGTCATAGTCAAAAGCATCCACGGAGTAGGACAGGCTGTCTATGTAATAGAAGATTTTGTGGTCCAGGGACCAATCCAAGCCATTGGAGATGTCCACCTGGTCAAAGTACTTTTCCACATGGTGGTCAGGAAAGAGGCAGTACAGGGACCCTTGGTGCCGCTCCAGAACTCCTGGGGCTGTTTCTTCAGCCATGGTGCCTACAAAACCAAAGACCGCTGAGCTCAGCCCCACAGCATCTTGCCCATGGTGGCACTATCTTTTCTTACCAGGGTTCCTTCTCACGATTAAATGAAGGAATTTATACAATCCCAATCTGGGTCCTATATTTTTAAAAAATGACAATACTGCCCAGCTGGCATGGCTCAGTGGTTGAGCGTTGACCTATCAACCAGAAGGTCACGGTCAGGGCACATGCCCATGCTGCAGGCTCAGTCCCCAGTAGGGAGTGTGCAGAAAGCAGCTGAACTGTGATTCTCATCATTGATGTTTCTCTGTCTCCCTCTCCCTTCCTCTCTGAAATCAATAAAAATATATGAAAATAAAAATGACAACTACCTTGCTTGTAATGCAAATCAAAACCACACAGGTTCTAGTTCCAGATAACAAGGAGTCCATCTGCACCAATATCATTTTCTCCCACTGAGCACAACTATACAACTTGGTCAAAATGCAAGGCATAGCTGTTTGAGAACTCCGAAAAGTAAATGTCAGGAAGTTCAGAGAAGAGCACCAGAATTTGAAGTACCACTTAGTTGGTGTTGAGTTCTCCATTTTATCCTCCAGGATGCCCCAGCACCCTGCAACTGAATTTAGCACAGTCTGAACTTGAAGTGAGTACTGTGGTGCAGACAGAGATCCAAGAGAAACCCTCTAGTTGTGGCTCCAGGAGCAGAAAAGAAAACTCCTGAGGTTCAGAGGAGTAGAAGAAATACCCTGGTTATTTTTTCCAATTGGATTTATTGGGGTGACATTGGCTAATACAATCATACAGGTTTCATGTACACAATTCTGCAACACATCATGTGTATATTGTATTGTGTGTTCATCACCCCAAGTCAAGTCTCCTTCCATCACCATTTATCCCCAATTTCCCTTCTTCTATCTCCCCCTACTCCTCTCCTTCTGGCAATTTCCACTCCCTTTTCTCCATTCTCTCACGCATTGGTCCCCAGGCAATTCTGCAGCAAGGGTAGCAACAGTAGAGTATGTCCAGCAACAGAAAACTACAGGAATCAAATATCTGAGGGGAAGGAACATTCTGGTCCATTTGGTGAAGTCAAAAGAGCAGAGCCGAACACGGTTGCTTTTATGTTCGCTCTCTCTCTGTCCTCCTGCCATTTGACCTTCGAGGGAGCACAATCATAGATATGGGTGGTTTCAGGCTGGAGGAATGAAAGGAGAGTTCCAGCAAGCTGAATGTACCCAAAGAGAGTGAAGGGGGTGTTGCACAGGAATGCAACCCCATAAAAGAGTCTGTGATCTGGACTCAGATTCTACTTGTACATGCATGGATATGATTCCAATTAGCATATCAAACAGAGAGTGGTGCTGTGGATAGAATTCATTCTAAGTCTCAGACTGACTACCAAGTGGCATGCATGTGGGACAAAACCTAATGGCACCTAAGAGAAAGCAGGTTGTAACTTGTGGTCTGAGGTCTGAGCCTAAACATACAGATTACTTACTAAAACTAATATATAAACATTCTTCATAGGATTTAAACAAGACTCAAGGTCTCATAACATAATAGTAAAAATGGTCAGGATACTGTTCAAAATTACTTGGCAACACAAAGAAGCATGAAAATCTCAATTTGTATAGGAAAAGCAGCAACAGACGCAGAGAGCAAAATGGCACAGATGTTGGAATTATTTAACAAAGATTAAAACAGCTCTTATGAGCAATTTGTAAACCATCTTGAAATAAAACTCAAAATAGAAAATATCAGCAAAGAAATAGAAGATATAAAGGATAATCAAATGAAAATTTTAGAAGTGAAAAAATAACTGAACTTAAAAAATCTTACTGGATGGACCTGACAGAAGAAAAAAGATGACAGAGGAAAGAGTCGGCATACATTATGTTAGGTCAATAGAAATTTATTTGAATCTGACCAACAGAGATAATAAAGATTGAAAAAAATGAACAGAGCTTTAGGGACCTGTAGGACAACAATAAAAGAGCTAACATACTGGTTTCCTAGAGAAGAGGAAAAAGAATACAAGGCCAAAAAATATTTTAAGAAGTAATGGCTCAAAACTCCTCAAATTTGGTGGAAAGCACAAAACTATAGATCCAAGGAGCTGAGCAAACCCAAAACAGGATAAGCCCAAAGAAACCTATACCTAGACACATCATAGTCAAATTTCTGAAAACTAAAGTAAAATAGAAATTCTTGAGATTAATGAAAGAAAAATCACATATTAAATATGGGGGAATAATGAGTTCCATGACCATAAATTTTTCAGGAGAATCCATGGAGGTCAGAAGGAAGGGACACATTTTAAATTTGCTGAAAGAAAAAAAAAGTGTCAACCTGAAATTCTATCTTCACTGAAAATATCCTTTAAGAATGAGGGTGAAAGTTTGTTCTAGGTCTGTGAAATATGCTGAACTTTCCAAAAATTCATCTGGAATAAAAAAAGACCCCGAATAGCTGCAGCGATCCTGAGAAAGAAGAACAAAGTGGGAGGGATCTCAATACCAGATATCAAGCTGTATTACAAAGCCACTGTTCTCAAAACTGCCTGGTACTGGCACAAGAACAGACATATAGATCAATGAAATGGAATAGGGAACCCAGAAATTGATCCAAACCACTATGCTCAATATTTGACAAAGGAGGCATGAACATACAATGGAGTCAAGTAAAAATACTAGAGGAATCCACAGGCAGCAAAATCTCAGACATATGCCGAAGCAATTTCTTCACCGATACAGCTTCTAGGCCAATGGAAACTAAAGCGTTAATAAACAAATGGGACTACATCAAAATAAAAAGTTTTTGCACAGCAAAAAAAAACACACAAAAAAAACTATCAACAAAACAACCAGAAAGCCCACTGCATGGGAAAACATATTTGCCAAAGTTATCACAGGTAAGAGTTTAATCTCTAAGATTTACAGGGAACTCACACAACTTAACAAAAGGAAGATAAACAATCCAATCAAAAAATGGGCAAAGGACCTAAATAGACACTTCTCCAGATAGTACATACAGAAGGCCAAGAGACATATGAAAACATGCTCAAAGTCACTAATGATCCGAGACATGCAAATCAAAACAACAATGAGGTACCATCTCACACCTGTCAGACTGGCGA